GAGCTGGATGGAAACAACTTTTTCCAGGAGTTTGGAAATGAAAGGGAGATTCTGAAATTGGTCTGTAATTTGACAACAGTGTGGGGTCCAGGGTGGGTTTTTGAGGGGTTTGATGAGAGCAATTTTGAGGGAGTTAGGAACATAGCCCGTCTCTACAGACATGTTTATTATTTTGGTTATGAGGGAACTGATAGAGCTAGTGTGGGTTTTAAGCAGAGACGATGGAAAGGGGTCAAGGCGGCAAGTGGATGTTTTGGATTTATGAATGATGTTTTCGACCTCCTGCTGTGTTGTGGGTGACAATTTTGATAGGGTTTGAGCAATCGGTGTAACGGGTAGATCTAGTGAAGTGGAAATGAGGAGTGAATATTGACAATTTTTGATGTGAAAAAATCAAGAAACCGGTTCCAGTTTATGTCGGTTGGACTATAGAATGGGGAGATCTGTGGTTTGATGATCTAATTTATTGTGGAGAACAGTTTTTTGGAGTTACCAGTATCGTTGTTTATAACTGTTGAGTAATGTTCTGACCTAGCCTTGGAGAGTGCTTTGGCATAAGCCCTACGATGTTCCCGGTGCCAACTTATGCACCGTCAATTCAGATGTTTTACATGCATGCTCCAGGACACGGCCAGACCTCTTCATCTCTCTCAGCTTGTTTGTAAAACAGGGAGCAGAGCGGGTAAACGTGACTGTCTGGGTTTTTAATGGAGCAATACAGTCCAGAATTGAGGTGAGACTAGTATTGTAGTAGCAGATGAGTTTGGAGGGGGCAGATGAGTTTGGAGGGGGGGGGGGAGATGCTGTAAACAGTGACTGAGTGAGGTAGCGTCCAAGTTCTTGATGTTCCTGAAGGTTATAACACGTTTTGGTTTGGTGGGAGGAACTAGTAGTGGGACTTCAAATGTAACCGCCAGGTGATCGGAGACACCCACGTCATACACCTGAAGGCCTGAAACTGAGAGGGAGTCTGTAATGAAAAGGTCGAGTGTATGCCCTCTATTGTGTGTGGGGACATCCACAAACTGTTGAAGGTTAAGACAGTCCAGGGTTTGCTTGAAATTTGAGGCCAGTTTACAGTTTTTTGGAGTCCATGTGTATGTTGAAATCACCAATAACCAGAATATTTGAGTGCGATGTACAGAGTGAGATTATGTAGTGCTATGTAGTGAATAGAAATTCTGCTGGACCATGCCCACGATGACGCCGTCGCCTTGCCTCTAGTGGAATTAGCCCTGATACCCAAGGGCCATTGCAGAACTTTCGACGCATTAGCGGCAGCTATATCGTCCACAATCCATCTGGATAGGCTTTGTTTCAAGGCGGCAAAACCCTTGCTGCGCCTACCAAACGAAAAGCTGCTCCAACCGCCTGAAAGGGGCGGAGTGCGCAGTGTAAACCCTCAGTGCCCTGAATGGGCAGAAGAGATTAACATTGCTCTCGATGATGGCAGAGCCGGTAGAGAAATGACCTGCGCTCTGAGTGGAAATCACTTCTGGAACATGTCGTGTCTAGTTTTGAGGATGACTTTTGAGTCATTTGGCCCAAACTCAAGACACGCAGCGCTGACGTACAGCGCGTATAAGTCCCCCACGCGTTTAACTGATGACAGAACTGTCAGAAAAATGGTTTTGAGTGACAGGTACTCTAACTCCACAGAATCTAGTGGTTATAAGGGGAAAGCTTTCAGGGCCTCGAGGACCAACATAAGATCCCATACAGGAACCGACGGGGGCGCAGAGGTTTCATCCTTCTGGCTCCTCTAAGGAAGCGGGTGACAAGCTCGTTTTTCCTTAGTGACTGGCCGCGCATTGTTTCATAAATGTATGGGGTGTTAGAGACAGGCCGAATGGCAGGACAGGGCATCTTTCAATCTAGAGAGATAAACCAATCCCTCAGGCAAACGTGTGCAAGGATTTTCCTGGTCGTAAGCATTTTTAAAAAGTCTTTTCATAAGCACTTTGTTCAAATGTCTCAGATCTAAGATAGGCCTAAGGGCTCTGTCCTTCTTGGGCACGAGAAAATAATGGCTGTAAATGCCTGATTGCTCAAGGCGGTACCAGTTCTATAGACTCTGTACAGCAGCTTTGCTATTTCTGCGCGGAGTAGATGTGTCCGTGCTCGAAAGCGCGGGCGACAGCGAACAAACTGTAGCGAATAGCCCTGCCTTATTGTATTTAGCACCCATTCTGAAACCCCTGCCCTGTTTTATACATGTACAGCAAGGGGCCGAATGTCCTCCGGGTTCTGATCGCCCACACTACGTGGGCCCTAGAAACTGAACCTGAGGTGTGGGCGTGACGTGCGCCCTAGGTGCTTGAATACGGCGGCTTGCTCACAGCGGTGACGGGCTGTTTTAATATATGACGTTTTGTGATCACTTTTATGCGCGAGCAGAGTCCTGGGTGAAGCATTCACTAGTAAGCGTGATTTGTTTGATTTGTATGCATTGTTTTTCACAACATGCCCATGCGCCATGCGTAGTGTGCATACATTTTTATTATAACACAACACAACACACACACACACACAAACACTTTCCACTTGTAGATTCTTTTAACATTTTTATTTTTTCCATCCTTTATTTGTACTCTGTCCTTCAATTCTGTGCTATATTGAATGTTCATACTGAAACATTTCACCTCATTCTTGATTTCTGGAGAAAACCTCAGAATTGCAAACACCACAATCCGACCCCAAGCAGTCATGTGGATGCCACAATTTACACTGAGCATTCAGTTTACTTAAATTGAATGTTAGGTGGAAGACAAGTACATTGACACTACTGTTAAGTTAAAAATAAATACTTTAAAAAACAACAACAACAACAACAAAAACAAAAACAAAGAATACAAATCCCACAGGGATATATCATAACTTTTTTTCATCCTACACAAAATTGTACATTTTTTAAAATGTTTTCATCTAATATTCATCCGAGAATTTCAGGAATACAAAATGTTTTTTTTAACACAAACATAATGGTACATCAAAATGTTAAATATTGTACAAAAGTTGTTTTTCTTCTAAAGCACTAATCAAAATCCATTAACAAACAAGGTGTTGGAACTACTATAAATGCAAGGGAGTGTAACCAGATGTACCTGCCAGCAGCATGTGACACAGTATGTGGTCCTGAGAGCAAGGCCTTGATTTTGTCTCTAATCTAACCATCAACTGTGCAGCCCCTTATCCAGGATGACCATGGGCTGCATATCTTGAAGTTGCTTCAGCAAAAGTTCAGAACAACTGGATAGGTTCTCATACATAACAATTTTAACATTCTTCACATTCTCAATCTTTAGTGGATTTCTGAAATTAACAAGACATTGGACTTGATCTCTCTCTTGAATGATTGGTTGAAGTGTTCTCTGTCGTTTTGATGGATTGGACACTGGAGTGTCTTCACTGAACTTTAGGACAGATGTCTCAAACTCTGAAGGCTTATATAGTTTTAGTGCAACGTCTTTCTCTACTTGGTTCCCTTGACAGCTAGATGAGTTCAATATGGATCCTGAGACTTTCAGCATACATTTAACATGCTCCCCGGGGCAGTTACGAAGACTTTTCTTTCTTTCTACACACATTTTGTTTCTACATTCTGACTTTCGTGGACGACCTCTTTTCCGTTTGACCACAGGTATGGTTGTGGCAGTGAAACTTTCATTACGTAGAACCTCAGCTACAGGATCTGGGCCTACATCTTGAGGACTGACGTTCCCATTTTCTGTGTGATGTTCATCAAAAACCGTTTGCTCCACCTCAATATTCTTTGAGGTACTATCTGCTCTGGGCATCGCACTGCTTTTCATGCAAAATATGAACTGGCTTCTTTGATCCTCAATGTACTGTTCCGTGAGGCCATGAGTGGTGTAATGTTTCAATATACTCTGCTCATCACTCATTATTGAATCACAACTCTCAATCATACATGGGTATTGTAGAGGAAGTCTTTGATTGCACATGGCAGATACATCATCGATGGATTTAAGAGCAGGCTTTTCTAAGGTCATTAAAAGGTTTTTGGCCTTGTCCTCTCTCTTTTTTGAATTCTTCTTTTTCATTTTTGTATTGTTATTTGCAATGTTCTCTTTTCCATTGTTAGAACTTGCACTTAACTTTTTTGCTTGAACATCATTCCCAATTCCACTTTTTTGTTTCTGTTTCATAGTTTCAAAAGTAGCATCATGTTTCTTCATAAGATGTCGAAGAAGGTTTGACTTGGTTGTATAGACCCTATCACAACCTTCAAATTGACACCTGAATGTGAGGTCCACACTTTCAAAATCCCCATCTGCTGAAACCTTTATTGCTTTGTGATCATTTTTGATATGATCAATGTATTTCAAATGACACGTAAAGTGAGCAGAACATTTTGACTGGTCACACTGAAAAGTGCCTACCTCAATACCGGATAACAATGCACTTGCCTTTTCTAATGTGCATCTGTGGAGCAAAAGATAGTGTTTCAACAAACTGGTAACTTTCGACACTACTTTTGAACATTGTTTGACTTGGCATCTGTATTCCTGCACTTGGACAACTCCATCAGTTTCTTTAGCACTGTTCTTTTCATCACGTTCTGACTGATGCATAGCCCTATAATGGAGGATAAGATTGTGTTGGATTGAAAAGGCAGCCACACATCCTTCATGCACACATCGATATGGCCGGAACATACTTGAATCACCAGAATCAATGGTGTCTATTGTCATTGTAGTTTTCTCTTGAATATCAACCATCACATCTGAATTCATTTCAATTTGTCTGTTAGATTCAGAAGTTGTATTTTCTGTTCTTTCGTCTGGAGCATCTGTTGTGTCAAAGAGATGTCTTCCATCACTCAGCTCTTGCATCACAAATATACCTGGTTTGTTTAATTCACTGACATGATTCTCTTCAGCCAGAGACGGGTCTTTCAGGGGTTTTACACATGTAGCTGAAAGCCCTTCAAGATTAACGTTTTCCTTTGATGCTTCCACAGTTCTGCAAGTCTCAGTATTGGAAACTGTAAGGGACTTTTGTGTGGGGCGTTTCTTTTTTCTTTTGGTAACAATGTTGGCTTTTCCTTCAACATTTGAATCAGAAGATGTAACAGTCAGATTTGGATTGATTTGGGGTTGAATTTGCTCTGATAGGGAGTCCTTTCCCTGGTCAGTGATGACTTTTTTTGACTTTGATGTAGATTTTCTGATCTTTCTATAACCAAGACCGATTTTCAAGTGAGACATTTCTTCTTTTGAAAAATGGTGGACATTTTTGTAGTGGATTTTAAGGCCTGTGGTTCTGGTAAATCCCTTTGAACATAAATGACAGTTGTATGGTGCAAATTTGTCAGGGTTTTTCTTTATTTGATTTATCCTGTCCTCACTGTAATCATGTACACGGCTAAGGTGTTTAAATAAAGCTTCTTTTGTCATTGCTCCATAAACACACCCTTCTTCACATCTAAAGGGCTTTAAAACACATTTCTGCTCGTTTTGTACAGGATCTTCAATTGTGTGACACTGATCATTTTTCGTGACATCTTTAGAGCTTTGATCATGCAGGTTAGTGCTCTCAGATTTGATCTCACATTTGTCCCGACTGAGTATATCAACTAAATCAAGACGCTGTAATGCCCTTTCAATTTCTATGATTTTGCCATCTTCACCAGTATTTGCAGAGATGATTTCAGCTTCATGTTTGATTTCTAAGCCAGTGTTTGATACAGGTGGATGGAATAAACTGTAATTTGTAGTCATTTCAGAGGGGTCTTGAGAAGACAAATTAGTGTTCTGGATGCTATCTGTGCCACCATGCATGTTTGTTAAAGTGTTACTGTTAAAGGTATTTGATTCTGATGGTGCATAGATGCAGGATTTGTGAGTCTGCTCAATTATGTCATTCATGGGGAGAGGTATTTGTGCCATTGAAATATCAGGATCATTCAGAAAATCCAGAAATGATACTGGTAAGTCAGCAGTAAGATCAATTTCATCTACAGGTTTGCACTGAGAACGTTTTGATAAATGACCTCCAAGTGACTTTGTGCTTGAAAACTCTCTGTAGCACCTGCAACAAATGACTTTCCCATCCTGTATTATGGCAGGCCATTTTGCTCTCTTAGATGATTTAACTTTTTTGGATTTCCTAGTTTCACCAGAACCTGAAACATTTTGATCATCTGAAGGGATTCCTTCTGTTCCTTCCTGTGTCAATTCATGATCACAAAAATCTTTTGGACTTTTCTCACCAGTCAGGGGGGCAACACTAAAGAAATCGTCCGATGATTCCTTAAAATGAGGGGTTAAAAGATTCGACACAGTTTTGACATCTGATGAGAGTAATGCATCAGTACTATCAGTGCTGATTTCTTTGATTGAATTTTCCAATGGCTGCACTGAAATAGGACCTGCCTCTGAAGGCAAAGTTGAAAAATATAGGCTGCAATTCTGCCCAGACAAAGGGCAGATGGAAATATCACCGGGATGGTTTTGTCCAATCTGACTGAATCCAGGATTAACGCTTGACTCAACCTGTGACAAGTCACAAGTCTGCTCACTGTTAAAGGCATGTAGTACTCTTAGAGAGCTTGACACATATTTTGAGGCTTCGTTCATCACACTTGAGGGTGTATTGGCATTCACAGAAAGGGGGTTGATGTCATCATAAGATGAGGGCGACGCATAATCTAAGACTGTGTCAGAATGGTATGATGGGTTTGTGTGCTGGTTGTCAGACAAAATCGTAGAGCTGTAGGGAAGTACAGAAAAACCTGAATCCAAATTCTCCATTGGAGGTGCTGCCCATGTCTGAGTTATTGGAAATTGCATCAGATCTGTCTGGTTTGGTAATGCTGCACTTTGAGGGTTTTCAAGCTGAGAGCAAAACTTGGCACTTATGGACTGCATACTATCGTGATTGGAGAAAATAGAGGAAGTACTTTCAAGCACTGAGTCCAGGAATGTAGTATGTTCAGTTTGTCTGGAACGGCTTGTCCATTTTGCTATCTGAGAACTAGTGGTTGTGCTCTCAGCTGACTTTTTTGCAGCAATTTCTGCAATCCTTTTGTACTTCTTAGATAACTTCCATTCCTCAAAAGCTTCAGAATGAACATTTTTGACATGTCTCGACAAACTTTTTGAGGTGCTGTATTTTCGTGTGCAGGTTTCGAATGGACACACATGAGTCAGACCTTCTTCTTTGTTGGCTTTTTTCACGGAGAGAGACGACTTCAATGTGGACAACTTAAGCTGACGCAATGTGAAAGAAAACAATTTCTTATCTTTCAAGAGTGTTTGAGTTTCACTGTCAGCATTCTTTAGAGCATCTAAATATTTTGGATCATTGCACTTGATGGGAATAGGCTCCAGCTTTACAAAGCAAGATTCAAGATGCAATTGCTTTGTACTTTCAAAACAATGAGGTGTCTTAGATTCATCAGGCTGAACAGCATTAGTTGTTAGGGAATAATTTTTGCTAACTGTCAACTGAGCTGTGCATGGCACAAGATGCTCAGGCTGTTCTGTGGAGTCTTGAACATTGTCTATAATGCTTTCAACTGTGTGTTTCCTTTCTACTGGGGTAAACTCTTGAGAAACCTCGTTCATTTGGCTTGGAGGCAGCTCTAAGGCAGGAAAAGTCGGAGTTAGTACTTCAAGTTGAGAAGGCGAGCCCCATCAACAGCAGAGTGGCCTTTCTTCTTTGCATGTCCTTTCTGATGCAGATCTAGCTCAGACAGAGTGTAGAACACCTTGTCACAGTTTTGGCTTTTGCAGGAAAACGTTATGTAGTGCTGTGCCTCATGATCATACAGCAAGTATGTCTCGTTGAATATTCTCTCACAGTTTGGATATGCACACTGTGCCTGAAATTCAGCATGTACTTTTCTGTGTATCTGAAGCTCAGCATGAGAGGAAAAGCTGAAATGACATCCAAGCTGAATGCAAAAATACGGCTTCTCACCACAATGCAACTGTAAGTGATCATTAAGATGGGTCAAATTAACAAACTGACGGTGACAATACTGGCAAAAAGCCTTCTGGCTCTGTATTTCTAGGAAATGTATTGCTTCCTGCTCATTTTTGTGGGCCTTAACATGTGCAACCAAATTCCTGAAGTACTTGAAAATTTTTTGACAACTGGTAACAGGGCATGAACAACATTCAGTGTTGTTAACATCACGGATAGGGTTGCCCTGTTTGGGGGATGACACTTTAATTTTACTTTTGACTTTTGCGCTGGGACTACAGTTTGAAGCATATACACTTTTATTATTGCAAACTGTCCCTTTGCTAACTTCAACAGCAGTTTTGCTGTCGTGCTCTTCTTTTTTCACGGCACTGCTAGCTGCTGTCAACTTGGTGTCAATACTGGTACGTTTCTTGCTTACACCCATAGCAGCAAGGCGTTCCTTACATGACTGTTTCACATGAGATGCCACATGAGGCTCTAGAACTACCCTAGTTTCAAATGTTTTAGCACATATTGGGCAACGGAAAATCCCATCTTGAACATGCTTCAATGCATGCTTCACAATCCTGTGTCCGAGGAACTCTTTATCACACAAAACACAATACTGCATATAAGCTTGCCAATTGCGGAATCGAGCAGAAACAAATCCCATCTCTCTCATCTTCTTCATTTCCCTTTTCTTCTTTCTTTCTGCTTCAACTTCACTGAGTTCGTAGGTAGGACTATTGGTAAAATGTAGATCTTGAAAATATTTTTCATCATGGTTATGGACTTCATTGTCTTCACTGTCAGTACATTTGTCAGTAGACAATATAGCTGTTGCCTCCTGACCCATCAAAGCAAGGCATTGACGTTTTAGAGTTTTCCAGTCCCAGAACTCAGGATCAAAAGGCCACTTCGTCTTTAAGGCCAACAACAGGTCACAGCGTAGTGAGTTCAAAATTGGTGGATCCTCCTGCTCAAGCTTTTGGTCAGGCTCATTAAAAAGAGTCTCAACAGCATAGTAAGAGTCCAAAGACGGATTTGTCAGGAACTCAGTGAGTTGACAAGCCTGTTTTACTTCCAAATCCAAAGGCAGCAAACAAGAGATTGTTTTGCAGATAGTGATATTACAGCCCTCATTATCATGAACTCCCATTTTTAGTGCTTGAATACACATTTCGATGCACACTGAGAGTCCATTTTTCTCATCCTGAGAAAACAAAAATGTCATTGTCAGTGCCATTGTCTTGGTTTTTGTAAAACAATGATATAAAACAAAACCTTTCCTTACCTCAGCCTGAATGACTTTGATGAGGAGCAGAATATGGTACACACTCACAGCGAGGCATGCTAACAGTCTGCATTGCTCCAAAAAGGCCTGTTTTGATTCGAGCCGTATTAGAAGTTTACTCCAAAACAGTGTCAGCTCCCTGTAAGATATACAATTTGATCCATAAATCAAGCACTAAAACATATTTAACGGTTAACAAGTATCTTTAAAATACACCGTATGTTAGAATATATATATATGTTCACAATTATTTAGTTTGAAAACGGTTTCATCATTTTTATGTCTATGTCTGTCTTGACTATAACAGGGACATTTGTCCAGTCAGTGAGTTTACATAGTCATCCAGCCAGTTAAAAAGCCTGCACTGAACAAAACAATGATGATCAATGGTTTTCTTCCGTGCCAGTGAATACTTGTGTCAGGTGATGTTGCATGTGCGTGCATAATTATTATGCAAGTCGATAGGTATATCAGGAAGGTTGCAGTCCTGGAAAATGGTGACACTGGTGAGTAAAGGGTTTCTGGTGTTTTTACACTTCATTCTTACAGCAATTTACAGTTAATGTGTCTTTATATTTTAATCATTTTTAGCTACCCTGCTGACCCAATAAGCATTTCATTGTCCGATGGACACGCCTTAATTGTGAAATTTCTGTAGTCTTGCATCATTCTCATGGCTTTTTCATAATTGTTGACTTTTCAGTGTCAGTGTTTGGCCCAATTTATATGCCATAGACTTTCGTACATATGAATATATGGTTTTTTTCTCTTTATGAGAAAGTCACAATTACATACAATTACACTGATTTTTTTCTGATTTTTTTTACTGAAACATCAAAACCAAAATTAGTTTTCAATTATTTGAAAATTGAAAATGAATATAAAGCTTATTTAATAATCCATTAATTAATCTAATTTAATGATCAAAAACTGTTGTATACAAACATTTGAGTTACACTTTAGACAGCTAACAGGTTAAATAAAGTGAATATGTAATATGCACCATATACAACACATTTAATATATTTATTAAAATGCTCCTCTCTAGAGTTACTTTTCTAGTTCACTAATGAGCTATGGACACTGAATTGCTTCCATATGGTAAATGTAATGTTAGGTGACTTTGTTTCCAAGCTTTTTTACTGACGTCTTTTCACAATTGAAACTGATTGAGCGACTGCATGAGAAATGATACATTTCAGTAAGTTGTAACTGTTTTTTTTTTCAACAAACCTTCTTATGTCCATTCATGTTTATTTTGTGCTATAACCAGTAGTAAAGATGATGAGGTGATCGTTCATTGCGCTCCGTGCTGCTGCTCGACAGTCTTCTGACATTAAAGAGTTTCAAAACAACATTATTAGGGCCCAAGCCCTGAAAGGGCGAAGGCCCTATTGTTTTCCTTAGGATTATTCTTTTCTATTATTATTAGGGCCCAAGCCCTGAAAGGGCGAAGGCCCTATTGTTTTCCTTAGGATTATTATTATTATTATTAGGGCCCAAGCCCTGAAAGGGCGAAGGCCCTATTGTTTTCCTTCCGATTATTTTTTTTTTTTTTTTTTTCTTTTATTTTTCTAACGACTATTCGGGCACTTTTGGGGCCCTTAACATGCTCAAAAACTCTTGAAACTTTGCACACGGGTCAGAACCCGCGGCCATCAGGGCCGGGCTGAAGATGGTACCCGGGCGTGGCAGGGGGGCTCGACAGCGCCCCCTGGAACGGGGTCCGAACACTTGGTCCATAACTCAAACACGCTTGTATATAATATTATGAAACCCGGTACACATGTTGATCTCATCGTTTCATCTATACCTCGCGCTTTTACTTTTTACCCCAGCCCAACAGGAAGTCGGCTATTTAGGGTTGTTCGTAAAACACTCGCAATGGAATTTTAAATACTCCTCCTAGAGCTCTGATCCAAATTCGATGAAATTCGGTCAGCGTGAAGTCAAGACATTGAAGATGAAAGTTTGCGAGGGGATTTTTGATATCTCGAACGGTTTGGCCGTGGCGAGGAAACAAAATTATGGCGAGAAACGTGAAACAGAAAGTGTGTAATAACTTCAGCATACATCAACCGATCTTGATGAAACTTCAGCAGTGTGTTCGCTGTAAGAGGACGATCACATGGATGTGACTATTGTGAGTCAAAGTTATAGCGCCACCAACTGGCAGCAGGAAGTGTGTCATTTTCAAAATGTTTTGAAATCACCCTCTAATTTTTACTCGATTTGCTTCAAACTTAATCTGTAAACTGCAAATACACAGCAGATGAAGACCTGTGAATGGATTCTTGATATCTTTAAAACTGTTGCCGTGGCAACGCATCAAACTTTACCATTATTTTAGGATGCTTTTGAGACTCTTAGCATGCTTTAAATTGCATGAAACTCGACAGACACATCACATTTTTTAGCCAGTAGACATGTGCAAAGTTTCAGAAACGGGCGTGGTGAGGGCTCAGTAGCGCCACCTTTTGACAAAAGTGGGGTTGTTAGTTTTATCTACAGTTACAAAAATCGGTATGTATATTGTACTCCTCGAGCCGGACAACTTTCTAATTGACACTCATTAGCTAGGACCCACAGAAAGTCAGATATCTTTGTTTGAATGTAGAGAAAATCTCAGAATTTTGCCAGTCTCTCAGTGTCCCTCTGTGTGAGTGAGAGGAGGGGCGCCTGTCAGGTTAATTTTAACCCTTTATTTGCTGTGTGCGACTTCTCTGGCATTTTTGGGGGCCTTAACATCCTCGAAAACTCTTGAAACTTTGCACACGGGTCAGAACCCATGGCCATCAGGGCCGGGCTGAAGCTGGTAACCGGGCGTGGCAGGGCGGCTCGACAGCGCCCCTGGACTGGGATTCGAACATTTGTCCATAAATCAAACACACTTGCATGAATTAATATGAAACTCGGTACAATTATAGATCACATCAGGCCAAACAACTTTCGTGCTCTAAGTTTTATGACAGTTCAAATGGAAGTTATTTATGAATTATGAATTATGGGTTGTTTGAATAATTGTCCTAGGAGAAATACATCAAATTACAACGCATGTGTTTACCAATCACAACCAAACTCGGTGTGCATGAAGTCAAGACATTGAGGATGCTCAATTCCGGACGGATTTTTGATATCTCGAACGGTCTGGCCGTGGCGAGGAAATGAATTTTATGACTAAAAAAGGACACATAAAGTGTGTTATAACTTTGCTCATTTTACCTACAGTTACAAAACTTACCACGTATATTGTTCTCATCAAGCCGATCAACTTTCCAATTTAAAGTCATTCGCTCTGAGCAACAGAAAGTCAGATATTGTAGTTTGAATGGATTTAATTCCCCTGCGATTCTCTCTCTCTCTCTCTCTCTCTCTCTCTCTCTCTCTCTCTCTCTCTCTGAGTTGTGTGTGTGTGGGTGGTGGGTGGGTGTGTGGTGTCTGTGTGGGGAGGGGGAGGGCTGTTGTCTGTGTTTGTGTGTGTGTGTGTGGTGTGGGCTGGCTGCGATTTTTCCTACAAGTCCTTGTCTCTAAGTCCTTGTCTTTTTGCATAACAATTTTGCATAACAATATTTTTAAATGACAAAATAGGCATATAACCCCCATCTTTTAAATGTATAGTTTGCTTTAAATAAAAGTAAGATTGTATTTGTAATTGAAGTGAATGAATTAAAAATTCATGTGCTATATTTCAATATATTTGTTTCCTTAAGATTTTAAACACTAACTTCATTCTTATCTGAATTACAAAATATTTGTTTCTGTATAAAATAATACTCTGACTAAAAACACATTTGATGTTTTTTTTTTGTATTTTTATTACATGTATTTGTGTGTGTGTGTGTGTGTGTGTGTGTGTGTGTGTGTGTGTGTGTATAAAGTGCAGGTTTTTTTTAGATAAAGTAGAATTTCTATAACTATGTGTTGAACTAATACATCACTCTTGTTGTGTTAAACACAATCTACTTAATACAG